AGTCCTCCCTCCTTCCTTGGAAATAAGGTAGTCTGTGTGTGGAAACTGGTGCAGATGTGGCTGTGCTGATCATACACCTGCTGCCTGCGGTTTATTCGGAGGCAGAAAATCTTAAGGGTTGAGTTAAAATCTCACTCGCACAGTGTGGCTAATCTCACGTTATTAGGAGAGTATAAATTAACTTGTCTAGCCGGAACATGGACTGCAGTTGAAAATCACAGTTGTTCTCACCTCCAGAGATTTATGCTTTTTCAGACTGAGATTTTAGTTTTCTCTGTGCACACGCATGCACGCTACTCACCTTTGGTTAAGACAGCAGTATATGATGGGGTTGTACATCGTCGAACTCATGGCAAGGAGAAAGATTGCAAGATAAACCTGCTGAATGTACTTCTGCTGGTAGATGTCTTCCTTGAAGCTCCCCAGGATGAAGTATATGTGATAGGGCAGCCAGCAGACAGCAAAAATGATCACAACTACCACCATGGCCTTCACAAACTAGAAAAACAAAACCAGGGTGTTATTCCTGGGCCTGATTTATCTCGTGACATGCAGATTCACTGGACACCGGGCTTTACTCTCTAAGGACTGCTGGGAACTGGCCCACTGCCTACCGATGTGAGCCTTTCTTCCTTGGAGGCTGGCTGGTGCATGTAGAACACAATTTTTTTCTTACTTGCTGAGTGATGCCCTTTACTCCCGGCCCAAAATATTTTGTCAACCTTTCATGCCCAATCCCACAAGATTTTGTATCAAATGCAAGCTCTGTTTTGGCATTGGAGCCAGCAGGGCTGGTGCGCTGAGGGTAATTATTTTTAAGTTTCACTTCTGACCTTTTTTTTGGCATTAACTTGGTGTTCGTAGCGGACTCTGTTAAGGTGGTTGCCTGGAACCGCACTGCTCCACAGAGTAATTCCTATAATGCTGTATGCAACAAACATCACCATTAAAGGCAGTAAATAAATCAACACGATCACTGCAATGTGATACCTGAAAAAGAAAAACAAGCATGTTTTCATAGTCAGTATGTCTCCTGAAGGGCTCTTTCAGAAATTGTCTTTTGGACATGTATGTCTGGCTCCCATTAACTTCAACCCCAAAGCATAAAGAAGCAGAAATTTTGCCTACAAACATCATTACAGGGACTTCTGTAAACAGCAAAAGCTCATCTCTCTTGTGTTGTGATGATTAGTCCTTGGACTAGATTCGCTGTTCTTTCAAGATGGAGTAATATCATTTATCTTTTATCAGAGGGTAACAGTCCATGGCCACCTGCCCTGAACTTGGCTATCCCACTGCAGTCAGGGAAGAGAGATGTCGTAAGACTTGTGGCTGTAAAAATATGAACCTTTAAATCACAGATATGGGAAAGGAATATTTCAAAAACTGCAGAGTAACTTGATGAACGCAATAGTGTCAACAGCTTAATTCAGCAACAATGAAAAAAAACCTGGATCAGGGAGTTCAAATTGTAGCTGGCTGCTAACAGGGTGCACAAACTTGGCAGGGAAGACTGCAGGTCGCGAGGAAGGAATATTGCCTGCTTAGAGCATGCAGAAAGTGAGTGGCAGTCATTGCTGTATTTGTGTCACTGGCTGTTTTTATTTGTCAGTGCACACACAATTATATATCACCAACAGGCTACTCGGTTACTGCTCTGGCTGAAAGAGCTGGCATCTCCTTCGGCTGTATTTTAGCTTGGCCCTTCCTAGCTTTCCATGTTTCCCTGCAAGCTTCTGCTGGTTCCCTCATGCTGGGGTTTGATTATTTTAAGCAACCACCATTTATGGGGAGGGAGCGACCTGCTCGCTCAGTAAGAGCAGCTGTCAAATTAACATAAACAGTGTAAAAACTAGGATTAGGCAGGAGGGCTCTGGCACACGCTGCTGGCAATGACCACAAAAGGCTGGGTGCAAATGGTCTTCTCAGTATGACAACGCTCTGGAGTTACTCGCCGCATTAGTGAGCGGGGTCAACTGCTTTGCAGAATGCTGTTGAAATTGGTGTTGGGGCGCTCAGTGGTGTTTGCTCCTTGGGGTGGTTGCAAATATTGGAATGGTGGCTGCGTGTAGAAAAATACTATATTTGTGAAATGTGGCAAGTTTATCACTGCCTGTTTTCCACCCTTCCCAAGTCTCCTCAGAGCGGTACCTCTTTTGAAGGTCTAATACAGTGTGTGGAGTGCAGCGGAAATGCAAAGCCCTTTTAGAGTTCCCATGCTTGGAGGAGGAGGGGATGGGAGCCTAAGCTTGAGCACGTGGCAAAAAGAAACTTTTAGTCTTGTACTTTTGCTACTTTGCTGCAAAGTTAACCTATCACCAGAAAAAAATCCTCTGTGGTTACGGTTCTTTATTTTGGTTAAACTTCTACAACTTTAGTCCCTTCATATCCAAGATTTCTCAGGCGCTGGCAGTCACAATACTGCATTGTTTGGGGTTCTTTTGGACTTGTTTCTATCATAATTATGAACATGTTTCCTGCAGAAAAGGATTTTCCTTTGTTCTGAAGTCTAGAAATCTTGAAAGCTGGTTTTAGTCGACTAAGAAGGATTTGGAGGACCCACAGTCAGCAGAGGAACCTGGTCCTCCATTTCTTTGTTTTTTCTTTGGGTTTCTTAGTATTTCTTTTCCTCGGTATTTGGACTAGCACATGAATGGCTGCACGTGGCTTTTTCTCCCTGGTCTGTATTGCAGGCGTTTGTCCCGATAGATCCATCACTCAAGATGATTTCTGGGGAGCACTGCTTCCAACTTCCTTTCTAGGAGAGCTACTGAAACCTGCAAATCTGAGGCTGTTCAGGGAGAGTGAGCTGGCGAATGAAGTGATTTATTGTGTTTGGGAGCTGCTGCTCTTCAGCTGAGGATCCCAGAAAAAACCTGCCCCCGTTATTTGCTACTTTCAGGACCAACCTTTCCAGCCTGCAGAGACTTCATTGGCATGCTGGGAAACTCTTGTTTCAATCCTTCCCAAACAGTGGATGTGGGAGAAATAAACCTCAAGCTTTTCATTTGAATGAAATAGTCATCAGTGACTTATATATAAGTGATTATCTACTATCCCTCCTTCTCAGTTGACAGGAGGCTGGCATACTGTGTTCCCCAGCATGTGCCGTGGGGTACCAGCCAAGGAGCCCTGGGAGGAACATCACCCAACATGATGTGAGCCCGATTTTACTCTTGCTCTTCTGTGACTCTGGAGACTGGGGACAACTGGCCGCCAGTGGCTGAATATGCTGCAGCTCAGTCAAACTTACATGAAGCTCCTGGAACTTGGCACATATTAGCGTGAAAACCGGTTGGTTTGGTAATAACTAACTGCAGGAGGCATCCAGCTGTCTGCCAGAGATGAAGACCGAGAAGGGAAGAATGTCCCTGGTGCACGTAGCTGGGCAAAAGTGTTCACAGCGAAGAATGGATGCGGGGAGTTTAGCACTTGGTTTTGGTTTGAAAAATTGTTTCCATTTTGTTAATCAATTTGTTCCTTTTCTGCAGTTCTTCCATTACTACTTTGTATAAATATGTTTTGCTTGATAAATTTCTCAAACTGCTCTGTGTATCATGTGCTTTAAATAATGATTAATCACAGCAGATCCCCTAAATGCGGGGTATGGCTTGTTTCATCTGTCTGAACAATCTTGCTTTAAAGCAGGAGGAAATTGCTATGAGGGTTAGGAGCTTTTGGGAGCGCAGACGTGTGCCCAGGTAAGTCGGCCTATAAAACCTTAGGATGTTTGAAACATACTGCTCTTCCCCCCCCCCGGCAAAGAGCAGCATAATTTTTAACTAATTCTGTGGCTTCTCGGCATTAAAGATACCCAGTTTCTTCCTGCCTGATGGAGGGAGAAAATCCAAAATCTTTGGAACCAGGATTTATTGCTTGTTTAGAGACTTCTTGCGCTGGTTTCTCTTAAATCCACTGAGCCCTGTATCTAGGGTTTCTAGATCTTATAACCACTTTTCAAAGCAGGGGAGGATGATGCATCACCCTTCTTTACCCTGAGCCATGATCACCTGGTAGCTTTTTCCACAGCTGGCTTAAACTGAGCTTAGATGGGCTGCCCCAGACCCATATTCCCCTGCTGGGTGGTTTCCCCTTGCCCTCTCTCCCAGTACTGCCTGTAGCCAACAGTTTGGAGATGAAATGGATTTCCAAGTTAGCTTTTGCACGAATTGGGAGTTTTCTTGTTTCTCTTACGTGAGCTGGTGCTTGGATCCGACGTCATCGGGCCAGACGACGATGCATTTTGTTGTTCCGTTGTCCATCATGATCTCAGCGTAGAAGCACTGCGGGAAGGCAAGCCCAAATGCCACCAGCCAGATTATCCCTATGATGACTCTGGTGCTTCCAGCGGAGAGCCTGGGCTTGAAGGGATGAATTATTGCCATGTACCTGCAAGAAAAATAGGTAATGCTTTTACAGTTGCATTGGTAAACTATACGACAAATATAGCAAGTGTAAAAACTCACCAGGACGGTATACTGGACTTTATTCATAGAGACATTTTGATAGGTTCCAGGTTCTAGTGTGAGGAAGAATGCCTTCTGCATATGGTCGTCGCAAGTATTCCCCATACTTTGAATTTTGCTTTTTTTAATCTTTTTTTAAAATTAATTTTTTAAATTAATTTTTCAAATGCTTTATGTGTTTGGTCTGAAATTTCATGCTGTGAACTGTTTGTGTTAGTTTGGAGTTATGCACTGTTTAATACCGTGCCCTTTTCTCCTTCCTCTAGCAAAAAAACCCCTCAAACTCTGTTTCCCCCTAATTATGTCAATCTCCTCTGACACCCTGTATTATCACAACAGCAGATTGGGGTCTTTACCCTGAATTTTTCCCCACTGATTTTTAGCCGTGGAAAACTCATGTGCCATCCACCTCTGCCTGTAAAATGCTCGAGCACTTGTGCTTGCGGTGGAAGGGGAAAACTGACCCTTTCATCCTGCACCTGCTCAGAGCCCTCATGGCACATCTGACTATTAGATTACTTGCAAGCCCGGGGCGCTCTCTGGTTTTAAGTTCCCTGTGTAAAAATGCATGGTATCGTAATGAGTACATAATCAATTATGCATTTCTTGTCATGCTTTCTGTACTCTTTGTCATGGTTGTTACAAAGGCAAAATAGAGTGGAAAATGCCAATTGCCTCCTGGTTTTCATAGCGAAAACCTGACAAACTCTGCGCTGTCTCTTGGCCAGGCTGTTGGGAGGGAGCTCTGCCCGGCTGCTGCTGCAGGACAGAGGGTGGCTGCATGGACAGACAGCACCGTAAGTAAGCTAGAGCTGCATGGCAGCAGAGCCTTATTTAGCCATGAAATTTTCATGTCGTCTTGCTTTTCTTTAGCTTGTTGTAGGCAGTATTATACAATGCTCAAATCTGGTCAGGGAGGAATCAAGTGGCAAATATTCTCCAGAATATTTGCCCACAGAAGTGCCTAAATCCACGATCTGTGGCTCTTGGTGAACGGCAAGTCCTGGGTATAAATGATGCCACCCACTGCACTGCCGAAGCAGCCTGATGCAGCAGCCCGTGTTGCAGATACCGAAGGTATTACAGGGCTGCTGGGTGGAGGCTTTCCCACTCAGCCAGGGGTGCACCCCCGAGGCGAGCTGCACTTTTAGGCAAGCTCCTGCAAGTTGGGAGATGTACTGAATCTGCTGAGATCTCCTGGCTGCTCTTGCTGTGTGGCAGGGTTGCCTTTGCCCCACTGCTGCTTGTGCTCCCTGCGACATCCCAGGATGCTGGGACCACGCTCCCAGCACCCTTCCTCTGGTCCTCATCCCACGCAGACAAAACAAGCTGAATTTTGGACACTTGCACACTTTCCGAAGAGGGCCTAGGAGGCTTTGCTAACTGGAGTGTGAAACTTGATCTGATATACTACATTTCTGCCTGGAGTGCTGTGGAAAGTGTGCAGTGGAAAAAGCTGCTCCAGTACACAGAGCAGCTTGAAATGGGGAAGCAGAGTGGTCCTAAACCCAATGGGGAGCGATACTGCCAGGGCCTTTTCCACAGCAGACAAAGATGACTTATGGAGCTGTAACTTCTTAGCCTCCTTCCTTACAATAAACTACTTAAAAAGACATTGTTTTATCGAAGTTAAACAACGGAGCCCGTGGACGCAAGTTCTCATAACAATAAATGGAAGCCGCAAGTTTCCAGGAGACAGTGTCAGGATCTATTTTAAGGCTAAGCAAAGAATAGCTAAATATGGTTTGCAGCAAGATGCCAAGTTTTCTTTCTGATCTGTGCCATGTGACTAAAGAGATTTTGGCTGTATAGGTACTTTCACCAAAAGTCCCCAAGGAACGAGAGTAGGGAGACATGAGGACAGGCTGAAATGGATTTTTTTTTTTTAAACAATATTCTTTGGCAGAACACATGTATAAAATAGCAGTTACCAACAACCCTTGATTGACAGGCTGAATGGATTTTTTTTTTTTAAACAATATTCTTTGGCAGAACACATGTATAAAATAGCAGTTACCAACAACCCTTGATTTAAAGCCAGGAACAGCAAAAGAGTATTCGAGTTTAAAAGTGAGCTGCCATTGCTTCTAAATAGGGATTTGCTTTCATCTGGACAACTGCAGGCTGATAAACACATCACTCATCTCTGCGCTTGTTAGCGATCCTTCCAGTGACCGCAGGGGCCGCTGCCCCGTACTGTGGCAGCTGCGTGTCAATCCAAGCCATATCCCCAGCTCCGGTGTGGGTTTCAGTGGGCATTACACGCACACGGGGCAAAGCCTTCTTTCTCCTGCGAGTTTGTTTGTCTGGTTTGTCTATCGATTGCTTCCTGAGGCTGGGTGTGCCGGGGTGAACGGAGCTGCAAGCAGGGGAGGGAGTTACGAAAGCGACCCCGATGACTCAGGGAGCAATGCTCTTTGGATGGCTCCAGAGGGATGCTGGCTCCGCTCCCGAGGGAGCTGGAAGGGCCCTTCGTGGATACGCATGCTTGATAAGGAATAGAGGAAATCTGAAGGAAACTGCAAAGTCAACAGACAGGAAGGATGGAGGGAAGGAGGGCAGAGAGCCTAGAAGGGAGCTTAACCTCCTCTACTTCTTTTACATGCCATTGCCGTTAAGAGAGGAAATTCCCATGGACTTTTGGCCGCTTTCTAGTAAGAAGAAAAACAGCGTCATGCTAGTTAACAATGAGCTGTAAACACATTCAGACTCCACAAATTTAAGCTCAAGTAAAAGAGACTTGGCAGATGTAAGAGTATTATGAAAATACCAAATTACTACAGAAGTCAAACAAAATCACTGTAATTACTTTCCTCCCTCTTGGAATAAGTCATTCTTGTGAACAATTGGAGCAGACTCTGCCATTTCTGATCCAATTCCCATTATTTCTGGTGGTTTGCTGGACTTGCAAGAGGGATTGTGGCTGCTGCTACTTTCAGCATCCTGCAGGATATTCGTATCGCTCCAGCTCTGTCCAAATGAGAGGTCCTTCTCGTGGTTTAAAAAAAACAAGTTTGCAGGATGACTGGGAAACAATTTATGATCAGTAACAGGAGAACAATAAAATACCAGCCACTTCCACTCATTACACATTCAGGTGTGACTCAGACCAGGAATAAGACAGAAAAGCCTTCCTTTCGTGCCACAACTAGCATCTAACCCCATAGTCTATTTGCCTGGCACTCCTCCCACTTTGCTGATAAGGCACCTGACACAGTAGGGGGGGATTGCACAAAGTATTGCAATAATTTTTTATAACTTACAGTGAATTTTTCGGACCTTATCATCTCCATTCGCCCTCTTACCTCTCTGCAGCCACGGCTGTCATGGAGTAAATGCTCACAAACATTGCGGTGATGGGGAACCAGTTCTGAAACCTGCAGAATTCCTCGCCAAAATACCAGACGTTGTGACTGGCATAAATAAAATTGAAGATGGTATTGAAAGCAGACATCAGCAAGTCCGAAAAAGCCAAATTAACGATAAAGTAATTGGTAGCACTCCTCATTCTCTTGTGCGCAAGAATAATCCAGATGATGGTGACGTTGCCAACGATGGATGTGATAACGATGAAGGAATAGGTGATAGCCCACAAAGCAATTTGCCATCCCGGCTGGGTAAACTGGGTTACTGCTGTCCAGTTGCTGCTGTCCTTGAGGGAGTCAGCCTGTGAAATGTTGCTAGCATTTAAAATGGAAAATGTGCTCATGCTTTTTTCTTCATCTAAGTGTAAAATAAAATCTTCTGGCATCTGCTTATTTTCTTGCAGTAGATGCTGGTGTTATGAACCCCATGCATATGACTAAGTGCCGTTAAAAAGACGTCGGGATGAGATGTCTCATGTCCTCTCGTCCTGTTTTCCAAGTGATGCAATACAGTTCCAGGAGGAGATGGAGGGCCTCCTCCTTGCCTGGCATTTTAACCTATGCTTGAAGAGCAAAAACTAAAGAATTCCTCTCCCCCTTGAGTTTCTTTTTTCTCTAAAAAGAAAGAAAAAAGGAAGAAAGAAAAAAGGGGGGAGGAAGGAAGGTTTTTTTTCCAGGTCAGTGACAGGTAATGTCTTCCTTTAGATTATTTTTAGGGCCAAGAAAATATAACTGGAAGTATCAAGCCAGAAAACACTTCAATCCAAGTGGAAATCCTTCTTTTTCAGGGCAGCAGTCTTCCAAGGCACCAGGTATCTGAATCCCCTGCAGTGGGACTGAGGACATGTGGTTTTCTTTGCCTGTGTAACTATTAAGTGCGAGGCAGGAGCCGTACTGGGATAAATTCTCTACAGGGTTTAAGGGGACTTGAAAGGAGGTGGAGTCTCCTGCAGGCAAAAACTAAACAACCAATTTGACATCAAATGAAATGTGGCAAAGTGGTACTTGAAACTCCCCCCCCCCCCCGCCATTTGGGAAA